GTAACCGGTGATGGCATGACTCTCGAGCCTGGAAATCGTGGCGATAATCCAAATATCGGGAATACGAAAAGTTTCTCTATGAGATTTTCGATGACAAGCTGGCCCAGTCCAACTATAGTCAATGTAAGTTTCTTTTTTTTTCAATTCTTTTAACGCGTCATTTATTTAATCTTCAATTTTTTATGACAATTTTTTTGATTTTGAAATTAGTTTCAACAAACAACTTAGGAATCTACGCAATCAAAAACTAGATTTTACAGACATTAAGAAAATTATAAACTTTTCATGACCTTAATTAATTATCCTTTATCTTAAAAAAAATATATATTTTTTATATACAGATCACTACCGAAAATTTGGTCGTAAAAATGGCTTATGGTACTTACGCTTAAAAATTGATGGCATTTATTTTATACAACGACAAATATTTAATATCCAAAAAATTGGGGACAAATCAGAAAAATAATGAAAATATTTTTTGTGATTATTTTGTATTAAAAAAATTTTTTTTAATTTATATTCGTTTATCTTTTTTAAAAAAAATAAAATAAATAAATTTTAGAGGAAAGTAAAACTTTGTCAAAAATCTAGAAGAAAAAAATAACATGTCTGTTAAAATTTGAAGGGGTTTTTTTTTGAAAAAATTAATGATATTAATAAAATTAGGGCTTTATTATATTCAAAATAATTTGCTTACAGTTAATTTGTGGTATATGATGCCAATAAAAAAAATTGGAAGCACAAACGATGAATCATATGTCATTTTATAGTGCTTCAATCAGTATTGTAGCCGAGATTGAGGGGAAAAAAGTTGTCGGCAAAAATAAGAAATTTTGGCCAACTTTACGCTTAAAAGTCGAATGAAAGCACCAACGATGAAACATTCCTTCTTAAGGGCTTCGTTAGTAGAGGTGGTTAGAGCTTCAATCACTTTTGTAGCCGAAAATAAGAATAGGTAATTTACGAAGAATTAACAAATAATGGAGCAAAACAAAAACTAAAAAAGGAATGAACGTTTAGTTTTCACCAAAATATGTAAGTGCTTAATCAATATTCTTTAAAATTCCGTTATTAATTTGGTTAAACCGCCTTAGAGAAAAACAAAGTAGCTATGAGATAAATAAAAGTTATGACGTCACGAGATTTAGGCGCGAAGTTGGCCGAAACGATTGGAAGCGATAGATGAAACTTAATTCTTTAATGCTTGTAAGTAAAGTTAAGTGCCTTAAATCAGTTTAGTTGCCACTATTAAAATAATAGTGTTATTAAAGAAATAAATAAATAAACAACAAATGGGTGTTCACCAAATTAGAAAGAACTATAGTAGTAGTGAAACATCCAGTTTTTACTATTATATAATGCTTAATCATTAAATTCAGATTCCGTAATTAATTTGGTTAACCGCCATATGTAAAAAATTACTTATACGCTAAAGAAATGTTTTTAGGTCAAGTTTTTTTCCAGGAGAATTATGGAAACATTCACTAACGATGGAATTTATATCATTCTTCAGTGCTTCTTACTTAAAGTTAGTAGTTCAATCTGTTTAGTAGCCAAAAATTATGCAATAAATAGTTATAAGAAAGGAAGAAAAAAAATTATAAAGAAAAATGGCGACGCCCTTAAACAAATACAATAGAAATTATTTATATCCTTTTTGGCCGATATTAATTGCTAAATTATGACATATATATTTCACAATAGGTTTGGTCATCCATTCTATAAAATAAAAGAGTTATAAGCATGCAAAATTCTATATTGTTTTTTTTACAACTTTTTCGTTTTTTTAAGAAATTCATATCGGTTCGGTTTTTAACGGTTTTTTCGGTTCGTTCCGGTTTCACTAAAGTCGATTTTTTTAAAAAAAAAATTAATCATGAACCATAATATATTTATCTTAGAGAAAAATCTTTTTTAATTTATATATTTAATTCCTTATTTAGTTTAACCATGAAGATTGTTTCTTATCTAATTAACTAGTAAAATTTGCCTAATCTCCATTAATTGTGTATATAAAGTAAACCAAAATGACGTCATTAGTAAAACAATAAATTTGGTATTGATTGATTATGAAGATCATGGCGATTCAATTATAAAAAAAAAAATTTAATTTAAAAAGAAATCACGAATTTAAATTGCTCCCCCAAGGAAAATTAAAATTTCAAATTTGGGTTAATAATTTATAATTTATTTATTTTTGAAAGCCGTTATTAACCGGTTTAAAACATATTTACAACAGTTCGGTTCGCTCTTTATATAATTTCTTTATAACGGTTCAGAAAGTTATAACGGTTAGTTCCGGTTTAGCGATTCGGGTTCGAAGCTCTGCTACATATGCCTAATAAAGTGGATACTATTATGAATATGATTATGAAACTATTTAATTAAATTTGAGTAGTCAATTAACAGACTGGTATTTGACTGGTCAATAACCACTCTGCATTCCCATGAAACATATGAAATTAGATTTTATAATTCGAGTTTCTATGCGTTGACATAAGTAGACGCCTTGGCTTGGGTCTCCTGATTTGGTACTTAAGGCTCCTTCAAGCTTTTTAATTAGGTTAAGAGCCTGGCTTCCAAAGGATGTCAAGTTTGCAGTGACAACTGATAAGAATTTATATTCATCAGGAATATCCACATATTAGTTTATTTAAAAATCTTCTGTTAATATAAAAATTAATAAATATATTTATATTTGTAATTTATTAAATTAAATATAATTAATAGAGTATGATCCATTTTGTTTTTTCATCTGCTATATAAAGTGGATTGATTATTCCAACATCACATTTAAAATATTTTAAGTATAATTAATCTTCTTCATTATTTATCAGACCTGCAGAGTGTGACACTTGTCCAGCCAGATTTATTTTAAAGAAAAATTTTCAGCCAAGTCCAGGTTACATTTTTAGGCCTGGCCTGGGTAATTTCAAAAAATTAAAATGTGGTCCAGCTCCAGCACATGCACTTGAGGCAGGCCTGCAGGTTTCTGGTATTTATATTTTAAAAAAAACTCCCTTACTTTATCTGAAACTTGTGAGTAGGATGCCTCAAAAATAGAAATCATTCCTGTATCCAATAATTTTTTAAATATTTTATCATTTATCAACATCATTCTTTAATCATCAAATATGTAACGTCATGCTATAATTACCATAATTTGATGTGGAAGCAGGAGTTGAGTAAGGTAAGAGAAACAATTTAACCAAGTTTACTGTGGAATTTGGAAGAAAAATAATAAAAAATTAAAGCCTTGATGAATACAAAATATTCCTGTTTCTCTTTTGGGCAATAATATCAAGTAAATAAGTCAAAAATTAATTATTATCTATCAATCAACATATCTATTCACATGCTCATTTAAAAAACTATTTTGTATTGATGTCATTTAAACTTACAAAAAAAATAAAATAAGACAAGTTATAAATTAAATTTTGTGTCAATCTCAATATAGTGGACCAATAGTAATAATATTCTAGATTCAAAACATGATGTCATATTTAGGGGGATATTAATTAACATATCAACTAATTTAATCTTCAAGAAACTAGTTTAGTTAACTCCACATTTTTATTAAGATTTAGAGAACGGTAATAGATAATTCATATTATGATACTTACAAGTAGAAATCTGCAAAGTTATTTAAAATAATCAGGTTTGGGTCTGGCCAGGCCTAATATTTTTAAAAAAATTCGGGCTGGGTCAGATTTTGACTATATTTTTAAATATATCTAAATTTATCAATTTTATAGTTGAATTTTTTATTTATTGAAAATAACATATAACATGTCTTTTATTTTAAGTAATTATAAAAATTAATTTTTATATTTAAATAAATTCAAACCGGGCTGAGCCAGTAAATTATTTTTAAAAAAAATTCGGGTTCAGGCCAGCATCTTTTTAAAAAAAATTCAGGTTCAGGCCGGCAAAACTTTTTTTGCCCGATGCAGATCACTACTTACAAGGTTGAAAATTTAGTGGTAGACAGAAAGCTCCATCTTGCTGAAGATGTAATTTCTCTCATGAAATAATAATTCAATTGACGGGCTCAGTACTTCATAAGTATCTTGATATTTAACCACATTTATTATATTAAAGAAAATACATCCTACCTTTTCATTCAAGCAATCACATACTATTAAATTATCTGGAAACTTAATGATAAAATATGAGCTTTTTGCTTGGATTTTTATAACTTTCATATAATACCAACTTAAAGCTTATATCAAATTTTGATTTGCCACTGAATATCCTGTTCATTGACCTTTTGTAATTATGTATTTCAAAATTAATTTTTTATTATTTGAAATGTTTAAAAAAGTTTTTTCTTAGACTATAAAATAGTATGATGCAGATAACTTTTATGATTTTCTTTTCTTATAGAAAGAATATTGAGTAATTTTCACTGATAGACACTTGCTTCACACTAGCAGAAATCTCATACAACCATATTTGATGAGAAATTCTAATTTTTAAGAACAATCTTTCTAAAATTTCCTTACTTTGGATGTCAACTATTTTTGAGTGAGATCAAAAACCAGCAGTTTTGTATCTACATAATATATCTATTTGTAGATCAACTTATGGCTAATTAGTTTTCTAAATTTCTGCTACAACTTCCATTAGAAAAAATAATATCTCATGGATTTAAATAAATCTTACCCTAAACCTATTACAACTATAAATCTTAGAAAGGCTATATATTTATATATACATAAATTAAACTATGATATAATTCTTTTTTAAATAAACAGTTAATTTTTAAAACAAATAAAATAACAACATGGGAAAACATTTTGGTGATATTAGCATAGTATCAGATATCTATGAATAAGATGATAATTTTTAAAACTCATATCTCCCTAATAATTCATAAAAATTAAATTCTAATTAGATTTTAGCACAAATTAATAAGATATAGTTAGAAATTTAGATAGGTAAATTAATGAAGTGGAGTACTATATTAAATTATCAATAAAGACTCAATACAATATACTATTTATAAAATTTTATTGATATTAAATATTTTAAACAAATAAAAAAAATTCTATTTATCGTGAGAAATAGTTGTTTTTTCAGAAACATAAATACCATCTAGAAATTTTCTTATATCCTTCTTTTTGACAGATGTACATTGTTGAATAAGTGCAGCTAAATAATAAAATTGCATATAAAACTGTTAAATAAATTGAAATTACCTGTTTGTGAAACTTTTTGAATATCTATACCATCAATAATAATCTCGTCTTTTTGTTTGGTTGAAGCAATACATGCAACAGTGTCTGGCAATTTCACTTGCCTAATGTATTTTTCGCCTAAAAAGTTTCTTACTTCTACAATAGTATTGTTTTCTACCATGTTAATATTGATAGGGAAATGTGCATATACTGATCGCATTTTATAACGAAATCCCTTATATTTAAAGTTTATACCATATATAAATTAATGTAGAACTTACATCAATAACACCCTTAATCATATTCTTGATATGGCTACATATGGTGCGAATCAGTGCCAATTGTCTTTTATTACCAAACCATTTTTCAACTTTAATCTTATTTTTTCCCACTTTGTAGATGGAAACTTGGGCATGGGTAAAATCTTTAACCAATTGTCCCCTAGGACCTTTAACTGTTACGACACGAGATTTAACGGAGATTTGAACTAAAAAATTATATATTATTTAAATTTAATTTAAAGGAAGGTCCTTCATTGTCTGCCTTGTTATAATCATTTAAATAAGATTTTTTTTTAATCATAAGGACAAGTATCTATATTACCATCTTCCGGAATATCTACAATTTGGAAAGAATTGATGGTCTTCATCACCCACGGAAATTAAGATTAGTAAGATTGAGCACCACAAGAAAAAAAAAATTACATTTTTAAGAATAAAATAATAATATCTATTTATTAATAATATGAAATAAAATATCATATTATATAATCTTTAATATCTTAAATATATATCTATAAATCTATTTGCAAAATAATGGACGTTAAATTAATATTATTTACTTATCATTAATAGGCATTAATCATATACTAGAAGGTTATTTTAATTTATATAAAGATAAAACTAGCCTATCCCTACATTTGGAACTTATTTTTAATTTCTTGTTATAAAGCAATAATGTGTTGAGATTTTATCTGTCGAAAACTATCGGTTATTCGATTAGATATTTGTACATTTTCATCTATCCTAATCATGGTTTCAGTTACAGAAGAACAAATTAGTGGTATATTTTATATTTACACTTTATTAATTATATCGGGTTTTTTCTACATTTTAATGTAATCATATAGAATTACATGAGACTTTTAATATATTTGACACCAAGGGAGATGGAAAAATATTTTATTCGCAGTTTGGAGATGTTTTGAGGGCAATGGGTCAAAACCCTACTGAATTAGATGTAAAAAAACATGCTCCATTAGAAAATCATGGTTAGATCATATATATTCTTATCATCATATTTTCTTCTCTTCTCTTATATATATATTTGACAAAGTATTTATTACTAATGTTAAAAGTTAATTTTTATTTTCTAAAAAAAATTGGGTTAATAATATTTTATCTGGCTTTAAAAATTTTAAATTGGTGTTTGATGGGCATGCTAGTTCAAAAATGTTTTATACAAGATTGATTAATATTAATGAAACATTATATTTAAGAAAGAACTATTTTAAATGTGTTTATCATAAATAAAGATAATAATGGAATATTAATTCATATTTTATAAAAGTAACTGATTACTTTTATTGTTATATTCCAAAAACTAACAAGTTTGGTTATTTTTTTTTGTAAAATTCATAAATAGTAACAAGAAATTTATAACCTATTTTGGTTTGTTATAAGTTTTTAATAACATTGTTTTGTTGTTTTTACCATTTAGGCTGTTTATTCAAAGCTAAATAGCTTGCTAAATAACCAGCTATTTAGTAATAGGTAGTGTTCAAGTTTGGACATGGCCTAAGAGTGTGTCTTGGTTTGACTTATTTTTAATTCTCATATCTGGCATAGCTTTAACAGCTTTTGAATTAGGACACCCTATGGTTTGTTTTAAGTCCTTAAGTACTATTGTTACTTTTATATTTTTTTCACACTTTTTAGGCTGTATTGTTGAAACTGTATAGCCAGCTCTTTATAAATCAACCAGGACACATCCTAACTTATATATAATTTGAAAAAATTTGATAATAACTATGTGATTTCTAATTTATGTTATACTTATCACATTCCATAAATGATTAATACATTTAAATGTTTTTTTTATAATATTTTTGATAAATTAAATTTAATTATTCTATTGTTTTAAAAATACATTTTAAAATTGTTTCTATAAAACTTGGTAATTATAAATTTATGTGCCTTAAACATAGCAATTTATAGTATTTTTTTAAAATAAATAAACATTAAATGGTCTATAAATTAAAAATCTGCAATTAACGAGTCTATTTTTTAAAAATAATTTTAGACAGATTGGGTATAATATTTATTTTTTTTAAATTTGGGCCTGGCCTGGATGAAAATTATGTCAAATAAATTTATATATTTTAAAACTTCTAGCATGAAGCAAGGCACTAATATTTATATTTGTAGAATATTTTTTTTACAGTGGAAAAAAAAAATATTAAATTTTTCTATATATAAATAAATTCAAGTTGGGCAGGGTGGGCAAGTAATTTTTATTTTGGGTTGGCCTTTTAGGGACAAAATTTTATCACTACTATAAACAATATAGTTCTATAGATTATAATTAGCCAGTTCAAATCCAAGCCCAATCCAGATTGGTACTGGATCTTATATTGTCTATATCGTCACCTGAGAATTAGATTATTCTATCTCTACTTGTTTAATTTTACGAGAGAGCGATTTAAAAAATAAGCTTCTATAATTTTCAATATGATGGTATAATTTAGCCTTATATGCAATAAAATCGAATTTATTTTTTATGTAAATGGAATAGTATCATTAATAAAAAAAATTGGTTTAAATTTATTATTTTTTTAAATTAGCATTTTTAACAGAGTGGGTATGTAATGATTCTTTAACAACGACATTTATATGCCAAATAATTCATGCTTTGTAAAATAAGAAATATATTGCACAAATGAATCACATAATCAATACTCAAGTATTGTAAAATACTTATAAAATAATTGAATTATTGGTATTCGATTCATGTTCTCGAATAAAATAATTCGATATTCGTACGGATAATTTAATCGATATTTGATTCGATTCATTGAATAGATTATTCGAAATGAAGATCAAGTTCTTTAAAAGATGATTTGTAAAATATGGGGAAATAATTTTTTGATAGAGGAACAAATTAAATAATTAGGAATGATCACAAGATATATAGGAATATTTTGGATAATTTTGAATTATACCAATTAGGGTGTACCCTTACTAGAGGTCTGCATTGGGCGAGTTTTTGGACCAAAAGCCCGCCCATCCAATCTTTTAAAAAATTTAACCCGCCCGCCCAGCCCACCCATAGTTTTTAAAAAAAATATATACCCGCCCGCCCCGCCCATTTGTCTAAATTCCTTACCTGTCCGCCCATTTGTCTAAATTCCTTACCTGTCCGCCCATTTGTCTAAATTCCTTACCTGTCCGCCCATTTGTCTAAATTCCTTACCTGTCCGCCCATTTGTCTAAATTCCTTACCTGTCCGCCCATTTGTCTAAATTCCTTACCTGTCCGCCCATTTGTCTAAATTCCTTACCTGTCCGCCCATTAGTCTAAAATTTTTGACCCACGCCCGCTTATAAAATTTAATTATGGTCATTCTTTCATTTTTTTAAGCATCTTATAAAAAATATTTCAGCATTGCACCTCTACAAAAAGTTTATAATTTAGGAAATTAATTTTAAGCATAAAAATAATCATTGCAAATTATGGATAATTTATTTGATCAAATTGAATATTTATGAAAAAAAAATATAAATATAAAGTAGAAATTGTATGTAATCATAATGCAAAAATAATAATGAATCGACATTTTCTGTATTCAAACACGTTATTCCTTGTTCTAAAAATCTTCCAGCAATGCTAATCCCGTTCCAGCAATGCTAATCACGCGTTCGGAAGAAGCGCTAGAAAAGTTTTATTACATTCCCATATAAGGAAATTTTTAATAGACAAAAATGTTCATTTATTCTAAGAAAAAGTTTTATTGTTGTTGTGTTTATTACATAATATAGTTAAGTAAATGTTCTTCACTAAAAAAAAAAAACGATTGGTACAATAAAAAATGAAATATTGTTATAGAACATATAAACAATTATATTTTTTTTAGTTTGTTTTTGAACAAAAATTTTAAATTTCCTTAACCCGCCCGCCCATTGTTTCAATTTCACTAACTCCGCCTAATGCAGACCTTTAACCCATACCACTTTTTGAAGGCCTATCCTATATGGACGATACTAAATTGATATTGACACATTTCCGATCCAATATTATATCTGATTTTTTGCATTCTCTAAACATACTAATCTTTCTTTCTTTCTTTCTTCGCTTTAATTTTTAACATATCGTGTATACTTTTTTAATAGTTTTATACATCTATAATTTAACTATTAATTATAACGATAAGTCATTTAAATATTTTATTAATGATCAATTTATAGATCATATTATTCAAGAATATCAAAATGTATATAAAATAATTTTTATTTATTGAAATATCGATATATTTATATTGTATAACATTAATTTATTTGTACATAAATAAGTTATTAAAACAAATTTTTTATGAAATTTAAATAATAATTTTAAAAAAATTTTTTTAGTTAAGTCTATCAGATCGGATCGGATAATTTTGTACTATTTGGCCGATAACCGATATTTTTTAAAAAGACGAAATATCGGCCGGATCAAATCCGATAAATATATCCATACACCCCTAATACAAATAATAGATTTCGGTCATTCGTAAAATACGAATCGAATAGCGAATAATTCGATTTTAGGTATATAACCTAACAGTTTAGAAATATATTTGTTTTATTATGATGAAATATAAATGGAGACAATAAAAAACAAATTATTAATATTTGAATTTTTATAAATTCCAGATTATTTAGAGAAAAATCTTATTTGTTTTATTGACAAGTGCCAAAAAAATATATTATATATACTTATTATATCGTTAATTGATCGAAATAGACGAAAGATTATCCTTCGACGTTTTCCTCCCCATCTTGCTCAACTTCATGAAGAACTCTCAACCACCATCCATCCAAGATTTCATAGAGGGCTTGAGAGTCTTCGACAAGGATAACAACGGTTCCATGAGCAGCGCTGAATTGAGACATCTTCTAACCACGATTGGTTAGTTGTTAATTTTTTAAAACAAAAAACATATATATATAATTGGAGGTGGGGATTTAGCAATGTTTTTTAATATCAGAGATCTCCCGCACTTTTTTAGGTCCGGTCCGGCTTTTAGAAAAATCTAACCTGGCCCATGTGGTTTAATTTGATCCTTTTAAATGAATTTTATAAACCATTTTAGAAGGGGGGGTTGACAAAAGCACTGTTCCTTTTTCTTATAAGTGGAGGAGAAATGTCCGTGTTAGTCTCTTATTCAGCAACTGAATAATAGTACTCACAAATGGAACGTTCCAACGCAATGTTTCAAAACGCAAATAAAAAGGCGTAAACGCAGTTATGTTTAAAGTGAAGCGTTCATTTTTTATTTTTTTTATAAAAACGTCTAAATTTAAAACAAAAAAAAATGCCGTCCAATTTAAACGAACGCCGCCTTTTCAAAACGCGGAAATTGCGTTTTGAAACGTTCAATTTATGCTGACTGTTAGAATAGATGGCTGGCAGGATAGTTTTTTTTTTTAAAAAAAACCCCGTTTAACGAGATTAATATAAATTTAATACAAAAATTTAGTTATCCTTAGCACTTTTTTTTTGCAGGTGAAAATTGTAAAATCGAACAAATTTTTTAGAAATTATAGAAATCATGAATTCTTTTAGAAATATATTTTTTGAAGAGAATATAGAATATCCTGTAATCATAAAATTTCAGTCATTTTTATAGGGAAAATAAAAGGCGCGTAATAAATATAATTTGCGTTTGTGCCAGCTTTATCCGAGATAATCTCCCCTACAACTGACACTTATTATGAATCTGGTATGATTGTTAGCTTGACATGTATGTTAGAATTTATAGGAATTAGTGGGAATTTAGCTCAATATAAAGAATTTAATTTAAATATAAGATTTTAAAAACGATTCTTTACTATAAAAAAAAGGCTAACTGATTATAAATAATATATATATAAAATCACGTTATCCAATTTACAACATGTATTATATTATTACAATATAATATATTATAAACGAAATTAAAAAAATTCTTGTAGAAAGAAAATGCCAAAAAAAATTAACAAACTAAAAGAAAACACAAATTATATTAAAAAATAAAACTGGACATATATAAAAAAGAAAAAATAACTAATGACACAATGATTTAAAAAAATACATATGATTTTAAAATTTATTACACATCCAAGTTTGAAATGCTTTTCAAAATTAGATTTTTAAAATGATTTTTATGAGAATATGTAAATATTTTGTGATTTTTATGCATAAAAATCATTTTTCGTGATTAAATCACAAATTAATAAAAAAAAATCCGGATATTTTAAAAACATATTGTTTTATAAGCCATGTTTTGATGGTCCGGTCATATATCAACAGGCCTATATTTTTTGGACGGGTCTAGTTCAGTCTGCCTTCTTAGTTCAGATCAGACTATACGATCTTAATTTGTTATTTACTTGAAATTTTAAACCAAAAAAAATACTGGTTACTTACAGGTGAGAGATTATCGGAAGAGGAAGTGGAGCAATTGATATCCGGTCAAGAAGATCCCAACGGAAACGTCGTTTACGAAGGTTTTTTATTTAAACTCCATAAATCACAAAATCTTAATTTTGTTTTCAACAAAAAAAGAAATTTTTATAAACCTGTATTGCATAGCGCTCACTTGAATACTCGTTTGACTTGTATTCAATTATAAACGCCTATATTCATTTTATTCCCTTTAATCCACATTATGTTTAAAAAGTGTCATTATTATGATAATTTTACTTGACTACATGTTTTACAAAAAACAAATTTATCAGCAACGCAATGAAAAAGATTATAGCTAATCAAATTATATTTTACATAAAACTTCCATAAAATTAAATCTGAGCTTAAAATTACCTAAGTTGTCTGAGAAGTTGTTTTGTTTATGGCGACGAAACATGGGCAATCAAGGTTGCCCACGAAGCCAAATTCGAAAGAACAGAGATGAGGATGATTAGATGAATGCGAGCAAGAATGGGAACAGAAGTGATTGGCGTGGTAATGAGAAGAAATAGACTAAGATGATTTTGGCATGTGGAACGTGAGACGAAAGATGACTGGGTAAAATGATTGGCGTGGTAATGAGGAGAAATAGACAAAGATGGTTTTGGCGTGTGGAACGTGAGACGAAAGATGACTGGGTAAGAAGATTCACCATGGTGGAAGTAGTAGGACCAAACCCTCAAGAAAAGCGTAAGATGAGCGGCGGATATGAGAAAAATGAATTTTACAAATATGTCATAAATGGAAAAGAAAATCGGAGGGGAAATGGGTTAACCTGGGTAAACCGGAAATGGTCATTAGAAGGAGAAGAAGATAAATAAATTATTTAAATATTTAATCACGCGCTCAGTGGCACATCGAAGGAGGAATTTATTTTTATTTTTTTTAGATTTTAAAATATGAGTGGCGTAAAATTTAATACGATTTACAAAAAATGGTAGACTACATTACTGGATATTGGGTTTCTGGAAAAAAAATTTAGACAAGGAAACAATACGTATGCCATTCCTCGAATGGAACTAAAGCGGAATCTAACGGCACACTGGCCAAAGTATAATGAAAAGAAAGCTGGGTGCAAAATACCGCTACGTTAAATTTTCTACTAAAATTAGTTGTGTAAAATGTGAATGTGGCTCTTCGTTTTACGTTAATGTTTTACTGATTTTTATATCAAATTCAATATTATTTATATTTTATAATGACTAGATTGCACAAATCTATATCATTTATTATAATCAAATTTTTAAAAAAAAAATTTGATTTGATATATTTTTAACTTTAATGAATACACACTTCAAAATTATCTTTTAGAAACGCGGTAAAAGGAATTTTAATTGGAAGTTTACTAAGTTGTAAATCGGTTCACGCAATACAGGGTTAAAGTGGACCAGTTTTAAATATGTTTAATGACTTAAATTTTAAAATAGCTTTTTTTATTTGTAAGGTATAAATTTTGATACGTAAATTATCAGTTTTGATATATAATTGATGTGTAAGAATAATATAACATTCTTAATAAAAAGAAATTTCTTCCAAAGACTAATAATACCTATGGTAATTTATATATTTTTATTTTTTATCAATAGATTTCATAAAGATGGTTATGAATGGCTGATAAACGAAAAAACGCCCACATTATTTTTCCCCTCACGACTCGAACCCACAAATTAGATTTGCTTTCGATATTTATTCAAAAATTATAAAAATTTTTGTAATTTATATTATATATTTTTTTTATATAAATATTACAATTTTCTTATCCAATCATTAACAAATTTTTCACATAAATTATAATATAAAATCATTTGTCGAAAGATAAAAAAAAATCACCAACTTTTATAACACACTATTTATATATTAAGATTAATTTATATCGATTTGTGAATAATAAGAAATCATCAAAATTATTTGCTAGGTGCTCTATGATGCCTAATGTATGATTTAGGCTGCATTCAAAATGGAGACAGATCCATTTTTTTACATCCGTTCCGTCAAAGGTCAATCTCAGGAAAAATGATTATATATGTTCAAAGTGCGTCCGTTCCGATACCTTCCGTCTTAAAAACGGATCCGGCAAATTTTGAAGTCAAAACATTTTGACTTTTTGATCCGGCAAATTTTATTGAGCGTTATAACTGTTACTTATAATTTTTTAAAAATGAAAATCAATATATATATATATCATCTTTAATGTGATTGACTTTCTGACGGAACGGATGTAAAAAAAACGCTTCCGTCTCCACTTTGAACTGCAGCATTAAGCTAAGGTTGTAACGCGTAAAATTAGCTAGCTATAGCTAACAGTGCGTCGCTTATTTTAATTAAATAAGCGATATATTGACGACGCTATCATCTTTTTTTGAAAGTATTTGTTTTTTGGGGGGAAATTTTAAATTACGATATAATAAATATTGGCTCTAAATATGATAATTTTATAGTAATGTATATTTTTTTAAGTTTAAAGCTAGTTTTATTTTATTTTCGATAATATCAAATTTTAGTATTATTCTGGAAAGAGAATAACTATTGAAAGATATGTAATTCTAACTCGTACACTTAGCGTACAAAAATTCACCTAAATATAGTGTAGAAAATGTTAAACTTCCACCACGCCAAAATTCTTTAAAAAAAATAGTTAAGATAACTATCATATATATATATAAAGTTAGTTATTTATGACTAAAAAAATTCCCTAGTGTCGCTAAACTGGCTCATTTTGAGCCGATTTTTAAAAACTGCTAGCTAAATGTTTCATCCAAAAAAATATTATGCAAGACTTAAAGTTTTTGCTCATAGGTGGCACAAAGGTTTGAGTATCTCTATTAACGAAATTTCGTTGCTTAGGCAACATTTTTCTAGCTAAAATATGGTGTTAGCCATTTTTAAAAATCGGCTCGAATCTGAGTCGTTTAATAACACTAGAATTCCCTATTGAATGCTAATACTTATAGTTGATTATTTTTTAAGAAAAAACTTTAGGAAAAATAAAATAAACCAAAAAAACAATCTTTACAAAGCATGTTCAAATGACACTGTGAAAATTTATAAATTTGTTTCTTATCTAGTTTTTAGATGCTTGTCTAAAAATAGTTAAAATGTGTTTGAAACAGATGAATGAGTTTAAATGACATAGGCGGAAAATACATTGGAGAAAATGTATTTTCTACTGAACGCTTAATTCGAAAAGATTACCGCATTCAATTTCATTAAAAACAAGTTTTATTTTTAAATATTTATTTATGTCCCACCATATTCTGTGACAGAGAGTGCAACAGTCTACTTTAATTTTGGTAATCTTTATCATATTGTTCCATCTCGAGTTTTTCTAAATAAATCAAAGACTGGCCGGGCCATTTAATTTTTCTCAATATACCCGTGCCGGACCCAAAAAGATTTTTTTTTAAATACCCGGGCCGGGCCTACCGGAGCCAAATCCAAATATTTAAATTGCCATTATTAGCTATAAAAATTAAAAATTTCTAACAAAATCAGGGCTGGGCCTGATAAAAAAACTAGGGTCGGGCCATACAAATTGTACTTCTGCAGATCTAATATATACCCAGCGTCTACATGAGTGGAAAAAGGGGGGGGGGGGGGTAGGAACAGTTTGCATCCTATTTTTTTGAGGGGGTAGGGGGTAAGCTGCTTTGCGGGTAGGATAAATTTTTTGGGGGTTATCTATTAAATTTTGAGATGAAATAGGAAAAAATTTATTGCTACAAAAATTAATACTTTTATTATAGTATTATTATAATACAAATTCATCGACCAAATCTATATATTGCAAACAATCATACACATTGTTTTCCAAATAAACTATCCTTTTAAATGTAATTTTAAAAGGTTTAGATATTTTAGCAAGCTCATAATGCCATAATAATATAATTCATTGTAAATAATGGAAGTTTTAATTGAATTTATTATCTAAAAAATTAATTCTTTATATTCACAAAATATAGATAGTTGTTAGTAGAAATAGATTAATTTAAGTTATCCTTTATAAATTCTCTGAAAAGAGTATCATTAAATAAATAGGTGAAAATAATGAGAAAGTGACACCGCCGCCGAAGGCGGCGTTTTTTTTAGGGGGGTAGGCAAAGGTTTTTGAAGGGGGTTTGCATCCAGTGAAAATCCTGTCATGTAGACGCTGATATCGAGCATGGATATCAATTGGCAAGCTTAAAAAAAGTAAGATTTATAAAAATCGATTTAGAATCTTGTTTAAGCATTTAGCGACGATAAATTATTTTTAAGGAGTTTTAAAAAATTACAATCATAAATGAAAAATTTAAGGGGACGAATTCACGAGCTTCAAAAAAATATAGTCTTTTTAATTTATATAAATGATAAAAATAGGAAACTATATAATGTCTCTTCATCAGATCTGATCGTAGTTGAGTGGGCAGTGTAATCAGTTTCTCTGATAAGTGAGGAATAATTAGACTTTAGCAGCTATTGCAGAAGTCTTTAAACTCTTTAGATAAAAATAGTCTCCCGCTGTCACTTACTAAAATCTATGGAAGACCTCATGAATGTATTAATTTCCTAATTATCGTCACTGACGTAGTTGATTAAATTGTCTCAACCTTAACCAATTAGTGGATTGTCTATAATCATCAACCTGTATTGTCCATCATTTGGCCCATGTCGAGATGTACTAATTCAAAATTTTGTAGTAATATATTATATGAAAAAGTGGAGTCTCTCCAATTTCGGGACGATTTGACAGCACAACCTTTTATCCCATTTCGACCGTAATCCATATTAGACCACCAAGCGTAATGCTTCACCAATCTTAACTTGCATGTAAGCCCCGGTTGACCCATAAATGTTTTTAAAATATCTAACACATTTTTTCAGTACCATTATGATTTAATAATATAAGATAGGATGATTATGAAGGGTATGGTTGATTAAGGGTTAATAGAGCTATAATAATCATAATGTGCAATGCAACCTTGTAAACTTAATTATAGAGTCTAATATTATATATATATTAGTCAGAAAACTATTACGCGAACCTAAAGATTGTGGTCATAGATGGCACAAAGGTATGGACTTGGCGAAATGTCTAGGTTTAGGAGGTACTATTAATAATAGCATTCATATTCTTACAATACTAAGCACAGTTGTTAAAGCTCCTTTATAAAAGTAGCTAGCTCCCGTTACTACATTTTAAAAGGAGCTAGCTCCCGCTCCAAGTAATGGAGCGACATTCCATAACCGCTCCTTTGATTTTCATTTTTTTAGAAGGTACACGAAACAAAATCATATTTTTTATCAAAAGGTTTTATTTATATTAAATGATCTATCAAAACATTTATAATCTTATATTACCCATTAAAAGTAATATATTTTCTAAATTAGAATCTAACAAACGCCTCTCCTCTAAGACCTGTTTTGCAATACTAAATAAGTGCTCCACAGGAGCACTATAGGGAAGCGAGGTATTGTATTTTATAAAGATTTTTTTAATTCAGATATAAAAAAGGAGATTGAACAAGTAATGAGAAAATTAAAATAAATATTAAAATATATTTAAAAAAGCATCATATCTAACAACCCATGCTCAACTATAATGAATTGCCCAAAAATGATTATAACCATTTTTAAAAAATATTCCAAAATAAAAAATATATATTATCATTTTGTATTTAAAAGGTATTTTACTTTTAAATGTTTTTTAGATTGAAGCTGCTTACTATTGAAAATGAAATACTTTTACTTAAACTCAAAAAGCATTTTGCCCTTAAATATGTTTGGTATTTGACAAAAAAAAGAAGCTTTTATAAATATTGTTCTAAATTATGTAAATTTGGAGGAAGAAAAAGAAGAATTGGATTAGGCCAGAATGGGGAATGTCCCAAACCAGGTTGCCAGACCGAATCTTGAGTCACTCGTGCATTCTCACGTCTCACCCCTATTCTCACTTTAATCTCACGCTAATATATATATATATATATGTTCGCGGCAAGCGTTTTTTTTAAAATTCAAAGGTCTAATTTTGACCGGAAATATATTTCTAGCATGTTTAGGAATACCTATCTTATATAAATTGTAGAACAATTTTGCCAACTTTTGAGTCATTTTATAATTTAATATATAAAAAAATCTAAGGAACAAAAACAACTACTAATATAGATTTATATTAAAATCCAAAAAGTTTATGGCGATAATTGTCCGAAATTTTAGAGTAGGTATTCCCAAAACATGATAAGAATGTATTTCGGATAAAATCAAAGTTTTGAATTTTAAATATAACACGTTGCCGGAAAAAAACGCATTGACTCTAACATATATATATATATATATATATATATATATATAAGTGTTTTAACAAAATGGGTAGTTATCCAAAGTAGTGTTCATTAAACGGCTCGTTTCGGCTATCTCGATATTTTAGCCAGGAGAATATTGTTTAAGCCTCGAGATTACTATAATATATATCTAGACCTTGTAATATTTTTCCGGATGCTCATTTTGTAGTTATTATTTAAAAATCTAAAATTTAGTACACTAAAAAATGGGGTAAATTACTAATACCTAAATAATCTGTAAATTTATCAATTGTAATTTTAATGCTTAAAAAAAAGTGCTGTTATAATTTGCATATAACCCCCCGAGGCCGAAGATAATTTTTGACCAAAAATTTGGTTTCGCTCTTCTTTTTTTTAGAAACGGCAAAAACCATAATTCTTAAAGAAAGATTGCTTAAAACCCGCCAAATTATTCGTAAAAAAATATATTGCAATGTTTAAAAAAAATCGGATGTTACCAGCCCGGCTTTTGAACCGGGTGAAATGGTTTGTCTCTAGCGAATATTCTGTCCTGAGAGATATTTTAACTTGTTATC